AAAAGCCCTTCTGTGGAGCAACCTCAGTAATGCCACTATGTGAAGATGACAGTCACTCTTGTGACTGCCACAAACTTCCACTGGCTTCATGAACAGTACTCACAGAGGGGGCTAACATTAAAGACAAAACGAGCTCCCGCCTTCCCTTTCCTCCCCTTGCCCCTCCCTCCTTCCTTCTGTTTCTCAGTACTGGGGATTGAAAACAGGCCTTTTCACTAAGCCACATTCCCAGCCCTTTTTATTTTGTGTTTTAAGAGAGAGTCTCACTAAGCCACAAAGTCCCCCAGGCTAAACTCAAATTCAGGACCCTCCTGCCTCAGCCTCCCAGAGATTGGGCATTATAGGCATTTTGTATTTTGTGATGGGGTCTCACTAGGTTGCCCAGGCCAGCCTTGAACTCATGATCCTCCTGCCTCTCCCTTCCAAATAATGAATTATACTCAGCTCTAAAAATGGATTTTCTTGATCAATTTGTGACTTTCCTCAAAAAATCAAAGATCCAGCTCCTTTCATCTTGGGGTTCCATCGTCTTCAGCACATGACTTCCAAAGTCACTCTGCTGTTGGTATCACAATCCAAACAGAAAATCCCAAAGGATCTCAAGTGGAGGTATTCATACAGCACCTCTGCCCACATCCCACTGATAAAACTCAGTCCCGTGGTCTGACCCTACCATCATCCCCAGCACTCTCTATGTGCAGGAAAATCTTGGAATTACAGCGTAGTTCGGTGCTCAGATGAAGGAGAATAGAATTAGAGCACACAGATTCTACCACAGCAACCAGCGCAGCAGGGATCACCAGTGCTGCCAAGGAGGGGCCGAAAGAAACAGTGAGATCAGCACAGAGTTCTAGCTGCTGGTCTAGAAGCTTAAACTACTTGAGCAGGACTTGGGATTGGTGACAGCAGATAGGTTAGTAAGGTTCCTCCCAGTCCGCTGTCCCGTTCTGAGTCTGACGTATGACTGTTACATCCAAGACAGTTTCATCTACTTCCATAGGCACCGTTGTGTGAAGTCCAGGGAGCTACTTACCCAAAAACTGGCATCTGTCATAGGCCTGAGAGAGTCTCAGGAGGCTGCCGGGAGAGCTGTGCTCAAAAGAGGTGCCTTCTACTGAATATTAACCACTGACCAAAGCTGACTTTTCACCTTACTTCCTTAGGAATTTCAAAACAAGACATACAGAGAGGCATACGGTGGAAGGGGGATCACACACTCAGAAAAGGCAGTAGCAGAATCACAAGGTATCAGAAGCCATGAGGAAGCAGAAGCAGGCGGGAAATTCATTCTACAGTATACATCAGTAGCAAGGCATTACAGTTTGTCTCTGGATGACCCCAAAAGCCTCACATAGTCATGGGAGATGGGCTTTTCGGAGGTAGCTGAATCTAGAGTTCCTGACTGATTCATGGTCCAATGCTGGGATTAAGGGTGTGAGTGTTACACACTCCCTAGGCCAGTAGCCTGCATACAATATAAGTGCTAGGATTATTTCCAAAAGACGAAAAATATTTCCAAAAGATGAGAAGTATAAAATAAAAAGCAGCCTTTATTCTGACCAGCAGCCCCACCGATGGCGTCTGGCGATCTCTCCGGCGGCGGACACGTGACGTGGGGACATGTAAATAGCCTCGGTTTGGGGTGGAACCTAAGGCGGGCATTAGGGATACACAGGTAGCCCATTGGTCCTAGGTTTGGCACCATATGTAAATTTCCAGGGGCGGGAAGATAGCGTCACAGGTAACTTCCTAGGGGCAGGGGAGATAGGGGCTTCCTGCTTCCGGTTGAGGCTTTCCTGGCTACAGTGTCCTGTCTGGGCCAAAACCCTTTCAATAAGGAACAGAAGAGGTTTGTTTCTCTCGCCCTTGTTGCCTTTGCTGTCTTCCACTGCCATGAACCATTGCCCCTCTGCCATGCCACCCTGCCTTGGAGCCAGCTGAGTATGAGCTAAAACCTATACAAACTGTGAGCTACATAAATCTTTCCTTCTTTAACCCTGGGTGTCAGGTAATTTGTCTCAGCCACAGAAAAATAACTAAGATGTTTCAGTACAGCAGAATCTGGGAGGGAGAACCGAAACACAGCAATAGATTGCTCAGCCTGTCAGGTGATGGGAATTGAAGCAGAGACACTAGGGTGGTCCTGTATCCCCTTAATGGCAACAAATATCATCCCAGTCACTGAGAATGCCACTCTGGTGAGCTTTTTGCTATTCCATATCTATATAGGGTATCATTACTTCCTATATTGCTCATTTTCAAATATATCCTCACAATAATCCTGCACTAAGAAAACTTAAAAGATTATTTGATCCCCATGCACAATAAAGAGCATGACCAGATTGACAAAAGGGGGCCAGGTCTCCAGAAACGCCTGGGGACATCTGGGTACACAGGAATACGTTTTTGGCTCTTGTCCTTTCCATATTCCTTTTTTATTATTATGCTTATTTGTTTGCAGTACATAATGATTACATTCATCACAGGGAATTGGTACATGTACGTAACACATCTTAATTCTTTTTATGTCCACTTACTCTCCCCTCCTCCACCTTCCTAGCTTTCAAAGTAGATGAAAAGCAGAGCCATGAGAGTTCTGCTCAGCTGAGGTGCCTTGTATTGAATACTAACCACTGACCAAAGCCGACTTTTCTTCTCTCTTCCTTAGGAGTTTCAAAGCAAGGGATACAGTAGAAGGGGAATCACAGAAAGTACCAAAAACTGTCTCTGCTGTACTTAATAGGGCTTATACTTTTCAAGTCAATCCAATATTATATTTTCGCTGTTAAGGAGAACAGCTTGAAGCTGCAGAAGGTAGGAACCTGAAAGCCATGGAGGGGACATACCCAGAGGCCACCAGTTTTATATACCCAGAGCGCTTGGGAAGCAGCTCCCTGACACCACCAATCCCCAGAGGCCTCAGGCTTCCCGTCCTTGTAGCCTGGTATATTACTCTGCTAGCCTGTTGCTGGGACATGTTACTCAGCACCCACAATTTAAAGACAGAGAGCTAGGGCTGGGGATTTAGCTCAGTGGCATAAGCACCTGCCTTGCAAGCAGGCAGTCGTGAGTTCATGTTATATTAAGATGCTAAAAATTAAAATAATTGATTAAAAGATAATCAACAAAAATAGTTACTTAAAAAGATAGTTATTAGTAATATTGTCATTCTGTACTGAGCTCATTACCCTAGTAACCAAGCACCAACCACAGTTATAAATTAACTGACTGTGTCATTCTGCTGTTCTGTAATGCGTCATCCCCCCTACCTTAGTGACCTGTGTGCAATGTCAACTTTTGTTCCCCTTGTAAGAGACAAATGATGCTGTGTCCACCATTGTTCCCTTTATGAGAGACAAATGTTCCTGGAATTGGCAGACCAAGGGCTATGAATTGGCTAACCACCCACTGTGAAATGCCTCTGACCTCAAGCAAAGGGGAACAAAGGCCCACCTTGTTTCTGTTTCTCATCGCTATGTACTTAATGATCAATGAGCTAATCATAAATGAACTATAAAAATCAGTCAAAACTCTAACTCAGTTGCACAGCTTTGCAAATTCCATCCGCACTGTGTCACTGGGCCAGCTAAAATAAAAGCACTTCTTTTAAAAAGACATCTTGTGCCGCGTTTGTCATCTTGGGGTCTTACCCCGTTTTTCATCACGGGGCCTTGTTTTTTGAGTGGTGTACAACAGTTCGATCCCCAGTACTGATTAAATAAATAAATAAATAAATAAATAAATAAATAAATAAAGACAGAGAGCTTAAATTTGGCTCATGGTTGCAAAAGTTTCAGTCAGTGACTGGCTCCAATCCAGGAGTATCACTGTATCTGGCAACTGATACTGTGGCTGCTTTGGAGGGGAACTAGGTAGCTGGTGAAAAGGGTTAGAGAAACTTTTCTTTATGCTTTGTTCTTTTTGGATTTCAAACCATGTATATCCATTATCTATTCAAAATATATTTTTAAATGTAACCTCTTTCAGGGGCTGGGGATTTAGCTCAGCGGCATAAGCACCTGCCTTGCAAGCAGGCGGTCATGAGTTCGATCCCTGGTACTGATAAAAAGGAAAACGACAAAAAAAAAAAAAAAAAAAAAATGTAACCTCTTCCCTGATTACTCTCTTTGTATCCTGTAACTGCTTAAGTTCCACTACTCTCTTCCCCCAATCTTGTTCTCCTATCTTAAACTCTTATTTCCAATCTCAATCAGAAAAATCTTGTTCTCAGGCCTTAATTATAAAGATTGACGTTACCTATCTCCCAACGAGAAAAAAGACTTCCTCTTTGGGAAAGGAAATTAGGCTTAGAGGATTTATTTTGTTGGCAGTCTAATAAAGGGATAAGGTCTTTGACTAATTCCTTATTAAGAACTTTAGCCCTGTCACAATTATAACAGCATCCAATTACAAACAACTCAAATTTCCAAAATCAGAAGCTACATGAAATAATAGTAGTCATACACCAAAGCACCTCAAAATCATTATAAATTTTAAAAGTGTAATAAATAGCATGTCAATCATTCAAGTACAAAATATTCAGTTACAAAGCAAACACTTTAAACATCAAAGCATTCAGAGAAAAATATATATCATCACTTCCTGGAGGAAAAATGACAATAGAATCCAGAAATAAAAGAATGAAGACAAGTAAAACAGAAAGTGAGCCAGGGTAATGGTAGCTAGCAGTAACTTTCTTCAAATATGCAAAAAATAAAAACAACAAAAAACACTAAAGAGGAAGAAGTAAAAACAATTTTCAAAGTGCTAATTTCCTTATCTCTCATAGCAAAGAACTGGTACTTTTAATATTTAATAGATAACATTCTCTTTTTAAAAAATCATACAAGGACTATAGCTTCTAAATGTTTTTCTCAACCTTTTCTGAATTTAAAACAAATACTATCTCTTATGAAAAACATTTGAAATTCTGTATGTCTTCAACTTACCATATTTTTCTCTTTTGTTAATTCAAATAAATATTTTTTATTTTTAGAAAACATGGAATTGGCCATGCTGGGACGGGGTGGGGCCAACCAAGACGCCAACTAGCCAGCCTTTCTGGTAAGCCTGCGGTTTCCAGGAAGAGAAAGTCAGAGAGCACCTCCGCTGAGCCTACTGGCACCCAGGCTGAGAACCAACACCACCTGTCGCATAAGCAACCGGCTGGTTCACAGGGCAGTCTGAGTTGAAGCAACTGAGGTACAAAAAGCAACTGAATGCTTGTACTGTTTGGTTGATTTTGAAAGCCTGGGGCCAGCAGCCTGAGCATCTATCGGGAGAATAACAGTATGCAATATAGCAAATATGGAGGATTTCCTTTGCTTTTTGAATCCAGTATTGTTCTCTCTGTTGTGTTTTGTTCCAATCAATGTTTTTCTTTATTCAGTGTTGTTTTGATTAGTTTTATTCTGTTTTGTTTTGGTTTGATTTTGCTATATCTGGTGGAATGGACAACTATTGTGAAGATAACAAGATAAACTATGGTAGCCATTGTTGTTTTCCTAGTATCCTGCTTCAAAGTTGTGTACGAATTTCACTCCTTTGTTTTGATTCACTTTACTCTGTTTTGTTTTGTTGGATTTTATTATCTTTAAAATAAAATAAATAAATAAAATATGCTTTCATTCTTTTTTTTTTTTTTTTTTTTGTCTTTTTCATTTTTATCGGTACCAGGGATCGAACTCAGGAGCGCCTGCTTGCAAGGCAGGCACTTATGCCGCTGAGCTAAATCCCCAGCCCCTGCTTTCATTCTTTTAAAAACACATGGCTGTAGTGATCTCATTTTTGTATGACTACTCTCTTCACTCATTCATTTACTCATTCATTTAATATTTAATGGGTATCAACTGTGTGCCAGAGTTTTAGGTGATGAGATACAGAGTGGACAAAATATAAACCCTTGCTTTAATGGAAATTACATTCTAGATGTTTCTTCCATAATTTCTTTTTTCTTCCTTTTCTTCTTCTTTCATTACTACCTTCCTTACCCTTCTACTGATTTATCCTATTATACATGTATAGAAAGAAGTCTAGAATGACAGCTATCTAATATTAGCCATTATTAATGTAGAAAGTAGGATGTGGGGGGCCAGGGATTTAGCTCAGCGGCATAAGCACCTGACTTGTAAGCAGGCAGTCGTGAGTTCGATCCCTGGTACCGATAAAAAGGAAAAAGACAAAAAAAAAAAAAAGAAAGTAGGATGTGGGATGATGTTTTTAAGCTTTTTTAAAAAAAATGATCCTTTGGGGCTGGGGATTTAGCTCAGCGGCATAAGTTCCTGCCTTGTAAGCAGGCAGTCGTCAGTTTGATCCCTGGTACCGATAAAAAGGAAAAAGAAAAAAAAAGAAAGAAAGAGAAAGAAAGAAAGAAAGAGAAAGGAAGAAAGAAAGAAAGAAAGAAAGAAAAAATGATCTTTTAATCACAGTTCATCTAAACTACTATAATCAATAAACCAGATTTTTACAAAGCAACTGGAAAGTGAAATGATGACTAAACAAAGTATAAACCACTCTTTTCATAATATTTATTTTTTCCAGACGTGGTAGCACATGTATAACCCCAGGACTTGGGCGGCTGATGCAAGAGAATCACTGTGAGACCTGCCCTACATAGTAAGACCTTGTCTCAAAAAATTTTTTAAATTTTTAATTTATGTGTAATTGTGAATAGTCTGAAGCATTGACAGATACTAACTGTTTAGAGAAGCTGTCTGCTTATTGTGAAATGTTATACCAATATTTTTTCAAAAATAGCAGTGCATGTGAAGAACTAGAAATAATATTGACAGCACCTCCAGGCCTCTTAGAAGAGTTATTTCTAATCCATTGCAAAAAGGTTCTTGTTACCTATTCTATTAATGAGTTTTAGACAGGACCTAATATACTCCAGGTTTCTGCAAATTGCTAACCAAACTTAAGTCTCTATCAGTGAAACAGATGAATATTAAATGTCATGAGCTCAGAGACACAAGCTGAGTTGAAGAAGGGAGCTACATTTTAAAAAGCTGCATTAGAAAAGTGACTTACTGCATTAGCAAGAGAATACTTGAGGCTATTGGACTACAAAAAGTATAACTAAAGACTAAGAAAATCTTAGTGATGACAATCTCCTATGAAAAGGGTAGGTACTGTATACAACAAACATGGAGCAATATGGAATAATAAAAATACATTCAGAGGCATTGAATCTTAGGAATGGGAGGGAGAAGTGTGACTGGGGAAAGGGAAATGACCGGCATTTTAAGGTGGGGATTGGTCCCTGAATCATCTTACCCAACCAAATTCTTATGTATCAATTTGTTCTGAAAATAATGAGAACTGTGTTAATATAACCTTATAATACATTTCAAAATTAATTCATATTTTTATTTCATACTCTTAATAGCCTTGTGATTTAAATGATGAAGGTATTAGTATTTTAATTTTAATTCTAATAAGGAAATAAAAAGAAGATGCAACATAGGAAATCAATGATTGAGCCACCACCTGATTCTACTGACTTCTAGTGCATTTTATTTTATTAAATTCAAAGATGACAGCTTCTGGGAAGATGGCAAGGTGCAGAACATCACGGAAACAGCCTCTTTGAGCTTTGGTGTCCAGATGGTAGAATATAGCAACATGAGGAAGAAAAGGTGGGAAGTGAGTTGCTGGGATCCAGCAAGGAGCTGAAATGAGAATTGAAACCCATGGGGAGAGTAAAGAGAAAAATCTCAACAAAGGAGGAGGAAGTGGCAAGGAGCACGTTCTCTCTCACTGTGTAAGACCGGTGTCGCAAAGGAGACTCCAAGGGCTCCGCTCTCGTGTAAGAACAAAGGGGTTTTTATTATTCCATGCGCACGGGGTCCTCCAAACAGGTGGAAACGGAGAACCCCGAGTGTAGGTGAGGCAGGTGCTTTTAAGGGGAAAAAACCGCAAAGCAAGCGTTTTTTACAGAAGCCAATCATAGCTGTTAGAGTGGGATAATCGGCGGTCTGTCTATTGTGGTTGGTTAGCTCATAAGGGATGACCAGCGGGTCAGAGTTAATTAACTGTCTTATTCTGCACAACTTATCTTTAGGACACCTGGTTTCTGTATGGTTCGAGTTTGACATGCTTTACAACCCTGATTAGCGTAATCGGCAGGCTCTATCTCTGAGTTCCCTGGCACGGCACAGCTGGAGCATATCACAGCTGCAGATGTTTTCTTTTTGATCCTCCCTCGGGGCTGAGTTTGGACTAAGTCATGAGGCCCAGTGCTGTTTCTAGCTGAGAAACAGCATCTTGTTTTTAACCTTTAAATTTCTGGTCCTTCAGCTGTATGGGGAGGGCAGCTTAGACCTGCAGATGCACCGTGACTACTGGCAAACCCAGAGGCCTCCACAGAGAAACAGACCAGTAGAACAGATTAGTGGACACAGCAGACTATAGGGGCTGGTGAGTTATTTGGGTTCAGAAATCTGCCAGGAGAGGGTAACTGAGCCAGCGCCCATCCTCGAGAGGGATCAAGTGTGTTCAGAAAACAGAGTCGCTGTGGGCTGGCACCATCCAGTGGCTCCCAGGGTCAGGGTAAGGCAGAACTGAAATCATCTGGAAGAGGTCAAGAAACCAAGTTTAAGGTGGTAGGAGGCACACGGAGTGAGGCAGGTTAAACAAACTGGGTTCCAACCTTTCAGCCAGAAACCAACCTGAACTTCAGTGAACTAAAGGCACAGGCTTGCTGGGAGTATCTGTTACCCTGCCGTAAAGCTACAGCTGGTTTACTGGGATTAATCAATACAGATCTACACTTTGCACTTTGTCTACCAGTAACAGCAGAGACATGCCTTGAAATAAGCATATTTTTTTCCTTTTTTGTTTTCATTTCTACTGGGGTTTTTTGTTATTGTTTGTTCTTTTCAAATGAGCATGAACATTGTTTCAAGTATTTTTGTTTATGTCATTCTGTTCTGTTCTTGTTTTTATTTTTTCCTGCTGTCTTCTTTACCAGTTTCCCAAAGTTTTCATAATTTTCTTTATTCTCTAGTTTGGCGTCTGATTTCTTCTTGTCTAGTCACTATCTACTCCCCCCCCCCTTTCAAATGTACTCCTTTGAGAGTAAAATAATCATTTTGAAGGCATATACACTACATATAATTTTTGCTTTGTTTTAGGTTTTGCTATATTACCACAAATCTAGCTCATATTTTTACAGGTGGCAAATTAATAGTTACCAGTTTGTCATTTTCTAAGCTGTGTTTAATGCTATTATTACTGCTGATTGTACTACTTTATCCAAGGTGACATAATTGTTCTAAATAGTGTTTCTTCCTGGTATGCCAAGACTGAGATTGCCTAAGAGCTATAAATAATACTATAGACCAGTGCCAAAGAACCAGGGGCTACAGTAAATAGGCAGCAACTTCTCATCCTCAATAAATTGAAGAGGTAGAATTTTGCAGCTGACTCAAAACCCAAAAGCCAGCTACACCTGAAAGACATTTCTGAGAAGTAGTAATTTCCTAAGGATTTTCAGTACTAGCAATAAAGCTACTTGCCTTGATTTAAAGCTACTTGTTTTTAAAGCAATAAAGCTACTTGCAATTTGCAAGTATCAACCCAGGAATTAAACTTTTTTAAAAAAAGGAAACAAATAAAATTAGAAGAAACAAACAACATTCCATTCCAGACTTCCAGCTCACCAAAGGCAAACCCAGGGGGCAATTGGAAGCCACTCACCTTACTCGCTGAAGTGGTAACAGCCAAAGAGTAACAAAGCAGATGAATGAGGATCTAGAAAAATTCAAATCAGAAATAATTTCTCAAAAAAACCAAGCATGGAAACACAGCTTAGTAAAGGGAAGGAGGGATTAAAAGGAGGGTTGAGGATGGGAGAGAAAAACATGTACAGATGCAAATTCTCTACGATGAATGCGATTGTTATATATATCTAAAATGAACCAATAAACTCTAGTGTAAAAAAAGAAATAATCTGTCAGATAACTACAGAAATGCTGATCATAATGAAAAGCATGCTTAGTGACTCTAGAGCACAAACAGACAAAAAGTAGAGGAGCTTAGAAAAATGATGGAAACCATAACTGACCAACATAAGAAAAAAATGAAATTCATGAAACAGATATTCAGTATATCAAAATTTCCACTGAAGGTATACATAGCAGAATGAGCCAATGTGAGCACAAAATATCAGAAATAGAAGATAGGATTATGGTTAAATGCCATTCTTTTTTATTTACTTTTTTTTTTTTCAGTACCAGGGATGAAACTCATAACCTTGGGCTTGTGAGGCAGGCACTAATACCACTAAGCTAAATCCCCGGCCCTTAAATGTCATTCTTAAAAAGAGCAAGGGATCATGAAAAATCAGTCCAAAACAGCTGCTAGATGATGCAAAGAATAATAATATAAGATTGATCACAGTCAATGAAAAAGCAAGAGACACTGCAAACTACATAAAAAACTGATCACAGAAGTAATGGCAGAAAACTTCCCAAGCATGGAAAAAGAATTTGACATACAGATAAGTGAGGTACATAGAACTCCAACTAGCCATCATTACAAAAAAAATCTACAGCAAGGCATATAATAGTCAAGATTTCAGAAATTCAACAAAATAACAGAGTATTACAAGCTATTAGAGAGAAAAAGAAAACAAATCACTGATAAAAGAAAGCCCATCAGAATCCCAGCTGACTTTTCAACATAAACCTTAAGTCAAGGAGAGCATGGAGTGAAGTACTTCAAGCCCTAAAAGAAAACAACCTCTAACCCAGATTGATGTAACTTGAAAACTGTTTTTCAAAATTGATGAAGAAATAAGACACTTCTCTGACAAAGAAGACCTGAAGAAATTCATGTACTCCAAAATGTTGTAAAGGACATTCTAGAAAGAGGTAACAAGGACTACAACTCCATAAATCCCAACAGAATGAATCCACCAGACAAGGTAAGCAATTAAGAAGAAAGAAAAGGGAACCAACAAGAGGAAAACACTGAGACAAGGACAACTTAATGCATATTAACTATAAACATCGATGTTAATGGTTTCAATTCACCAACCAAAAGAAACAGACTGGTAGAATGAATCAAGAAATAAGATCCAACAATACGCTGTGTACAAGAAACACATTTAATTCCAAAAGAAATTCATAGACTAAAAGTCAAAGAATGGAAAACAGTACTTCATGTAACAGGAACCCAGAAAAAAGCAGGTGTAGTGATTCTATTTGCTGACAAAGTGGATGTCGAGCCAATACTAATTGAGAGAGACAAAGAAGGTCACTACATCCTTGTAAAGCAAACAATTTAAGAGGAAGAGATAATAATCATATATATATATATATATATATTTATACACACATATAATCATATATACATATATATATATGCACCAATACCAGTGAGCCAATTATACAAAACAAATATTAATGGACATGAAAAATCATATAAGCTTAATATAATTGTAATGGGGGACCTCAATACACTGTATCACAAATAAATATATCAACTACACAAAAATCAACAACAACAACAAAATCAATAAAGAAATATCAGAACTGAACCAAAGTTTGAACTTCATAAAAATATGGAAATTAACACTAATGGATCACAGATGAAATTAAGGAAGATTAGAAAGTTTCTACAATTAAAGAATAATACTAAGTTGTCAACATAGTGAAACTTTGGGACACATTAAAATCAATTCTATGAAGCAAATTTATAATGGTGAAATATCAGAAAAATAGAGGCTTAAATAAACAACCTAATGTTTTACTACAAGCTTCTACAAAAAGAGCAAAATGAAGACTAAAGTCATGTGGGAGGAAATTATAAAGTTCAGAGCAGAAATTTATGCAATGGAGACTAAGAAAATAATACAGATAATCAATAAAATGAGTAGTTAGTTCTTTGAAAGATTAAATAAAATTGACAAACACTTAGCCAACCTTACCAAAAAAAGAGAAAAGACTCAAATTCATCCAAGTAGGAATGAAAAGAGCAAAATCACAACAGATTCTATAGAAATCCAGAAGATCATCAATACCTACTTTGAGATTCTATAGTCTGATAAGATGGAAAACACAGACGAAATGGACAGATTCCTAGATTTACATGAATTACCAAAGATGAATCAAGAAGATATAAAACTTCAATAAACCGTATCAGTCAATGAAACTGAAGAATTACCTAGGAACCTACCAACAAAGAAAATCCCAGGCCCTGATGCAGTCACTGCTGGATTCTACAAGAAATTTAGAGAAGACTGAATGCCATTGCTTCCCAAACTCTTAAAATGAAAATGCAGGAGAAGAAATACTCCCAGATTCATTCCTGAAAGCAAGCATTACCCTGCTAGCAAAACAAAGGAAGGATGGGAACAAAAAGGAGACTTACAGACCAGTCTCCCTAATGAACATAAACACAAAAATCCTCAGTAAGAATTGTGGAACACAGAAGATTCTGGGAAAAATACAGCATAACAAATCATGAAGAAGGTTATACACTATGACCAATTAGCATTCATCCCAGGCATGAAGGGATGGTTCAACATACATGAATCAATAAATGTAACACACAATATTAACAGAGCCAAAAATAAAAGCCATATGATCACCTCAATAGACACGAAGAAAGTGTTTGACAACTCCAATATTCATTCATGATACGAAACCTACAGAAAATTGGAATATATGGTCTTTATCTCAACCTGATAAAAGCC